CTTCAACTTGAGTGTGATTTACCTAACTGGGAAAGATGGAATTCCAAAAGATTTACCCAAAGCTTTTGAGCTTTCACAAAAAAGCTGTAACATGATGCATCCATGGGCTTGTGCTAACATTAGTAGAATGTATGCCATTGGTGATGGTGTTGAGAAAAACCCACAAGAAGCAGAGAGGTACAAAAGATTTGCAAAAAAATACTCTGGACAAGAAATCAAGATATGAAAAATCACTAAAATATTCCTTACTGTATGCCTCCTTCTCCATCTATGTGTCAATTTTATACTTGGTGTAATTTTAATTTTTCTTTGTATGATACACATTGATATAAATACTTTACAAAAATAAACTACAAAAATAAAAATTGAGCAAAAAAATAAATTTCAATCTGATTCTGCGGCAAAATGGGTTTCTCATACAATCACTCATTCTCAAGTGATTGTAATGAATTCTTATTTTTGTAAGCAAAATCAAAATAGGGCCTGTGTAGCTAAGAGTGACTACACTGATTTTCTAAAAATAATTATATATTTTTAAGTCATTTTTATTAGCTTACCAAGTACATTGACAATAATATTATTATAAGCATGATTTAAATATTTACACAGTCTTCATGAAACATTTCTCATAAAAGTTTGAAAACCACAGTCAACTCTACACCTGTATCAGGGTATTCATTAGGCATCGGAGATCGTAGAATTCTCCATTTACTATGCTGAATTCTCCAGCTAACATTTCGTAGCCTATGACTATTTTTGTTCAGATGTGGAGCCTCTATCGAAATATTCTCCTGTGATGTTACATCTTTCTCCTGCGACTAGAATTCTTAATGAAAACCCTGCTCCATAAAACGGACCACTCTAAAATGGACACCTTGAATTGATCCCTGCCTTTCTTTTCTCCCCTTATTTGACTCTCTGTAAGATGGGCATCTCTATGCCTTGTCCCTGTATGGCGTCTTTCCAGGCCTTCTTGGTCAATGCACTTTGGTGATGTATCCGAGGCAAACGTCCATACCTCATGACCCGAAATGCATCAGCCACGCACAATAATGAGGCATGTACGGACTAGGCAAGGCATCTCTTTGAGAAGAAAACTTAGTGCTAGACTGAACAGTGACTTTTTAAAGTCACTGAGAAAGGCTCTCATAAGCAACTTCTCCCACAAGTGACTCTTCTGTGATTACCCAACTGGACTTTTCCTTTGTTTATAAGCTCTCAAAAGCAACCACTTAGAGTCTTATTCATATTTATCAACACTTTAATGAAACTGCACACTAAGCTAATGGTTCGTTGATAAAGATCTTGTTCAGTGCAGTGTTGTTTTCGTAAAAGTTAAAAGTCATTTTCATAGCAACCACTTCATTAGTAATAAGTTTCTGAAGCTCTCAGTAGCAACCACCCTCTATTGTTTTACGATGTGGTTGCTAACGAGGGCTCATTCTCATAAGTGACTAGCTCTAGTTACAACAACTTCTTCAAATTTCCGAGGGAGTCGCTTACAAGAACTTTGACTGAACATGATCCAGTACAAGAGTGAACATACCAATCTCGACATGAAAAGTGGGTGTGTTATGCAGATATAAAAGTTCCTTTAATTTGAGGATGAATCTCAGAAGGCTTAAAAAACTTCAATGTCTTTCCCTCAATAATTTCATTTTCTTTATAAATTTCCTTCACTATATAAAATTACTTGCAAGGAAAATAAAAATGGACAACGGAACCCTTTGCTTTTCTATAATAAAATAACTAACTATTATAATAATATTTAAGAATTATATTTAACATGTATAAATTTTAATACCAATAAGTGCTGGTGTTGACTAAAATAATAATTTTTGCCTCAATTATAAATATTGAGCAGTCACTCACAAAGACAGCAGAATCAATCTAGCACTTTCTTGGGAAAGCATCTTAAACATGTTTACTATAAACAATAATTTTAAAATCCACTTTGAAGAAACCTCTTTAATGTTAGTGGCAATGGCAGTTCAGGTATATAGTCCCAATGACAAGCTAACTGTTTCCTAAGACGAACCTTACACATTTGTGTAAGTGGCTGTGGCATTTCTAGCGGCATGTCATCTTCTCGTCCAAGAAGTGTTGTTGATGCACCATACTGGAGAAGTACAGATGTTAACTGAACTGCAATGTCGTAGGCATGATCAGCTCTCAGCGTCAAATGAAGAGGTGTGTCTCTCACTAAATCTCTGGCATTGACCTTGCTGTTGACATCCAACAGCATAACTGCACTCTTTACTTTACCTACACAAAAATGAAGATGCACAAAGTAGATCACATGAGTGCTGAATGATATTTAATTATGGATCATTCATTGCTACGAATTTACAGCAGCTACAACTCATGATTTGATCTACATAAGCTAAGGATGATATATAACGAATTTACAATCGAAACTCTATGGGTGTATTCGATCGGGATGATCCATATCAGGATTGGTGATCTGATATCACTCAGATCATAGCACATCAGAGGAAATGACAAATCCACCTTGGGAAAGGATTAATACAGAATCCATCAGGAAATTGAGTAATTTCAATTTTCAGTGGACAACAAACCTTATACCAGAATAATTTAAACAATATCTCATGGGGCTAAAGATGTAAAGATGTAATAAGTTAGTTATCCACAGGTAATTAAACACCAAAGAAAATTTCTTAGGAGAGCCCCAGAAAATAAGTGTCAAATTTCAGAAAATGACACCTTATACATGAAATTTTCAGAATTATGTGTGATCCCCTCCTGTAAACAACAAGTCCACTCCTCAAAGTGATCACATCTTCAAAGTCAGAAAGCACTGCTTAATTTGGAACCTTTCTAAGTACTGTTGTGGTGTCCTATTCAGTTACCAAATCTAGAATTTTTAGGAGATATTTTAACTTTATTTTTACTATTCCTTTCTAAATAATTTATAACTTTATTGAAATGTACAGGGCTACAAAAAATCTGCTTGCCTAGGTCTGTTTTGTACTCTGCATACCTATAAAAGTTATGTGTTTTAGTATGAATTGAAGTTAATTTGCCGGGACCTTTGCCCATCAGTCAAGCAAGCATGAAAGGCTATTTTTCCCATGTGAGAAGATTTACTTGTCCTGGATGAATTTGTCATTACTTTTTTCCAGTTAGACATGAAAATTAATAAGGAGTGTCATAAATGTACCTTGCAATACAAGATTGTTTCCCAGTGAGAAAATTTACTTGTCCTGGATGACTAGATATGACTTTTTTCAAGCCTAGACTTGAAAATAATAGAGAGTGTCATAAAAATACCTTGCATACAAGCTTCATGTAAAGGTGTTCTCTTCTGATTACTTGCCGCATGTGGGTCTGCACCTTGACGAAGAAGCTCCAACATTATATCATCATATCCTCTGTATGCAGCTTCATGTAAAGGCGTGTGTTTGCCTGCATTAACACTGTTTACATCAGCCCCCGCCCTGATTAATAACTTGACACAATCAAGGTGACCCTGACGAACAGCAATATGAAGAGGTGACCAGGGTGTGCAGCCAGAATCTAATCATCGATGATAAATAAACAAAAACACGACATAAACTAAGAAGTAGATAATTGAGAACACTCGCCTCCGCATCCCACCAATCCTGGCATCATCCCAGCAGTAATGGCTATATGTGGTTTAATTTACTTTGATGTTTGTTCCCTCCGCTCCAATGAGAGGTTTTTCTGCGGGTACTTGGGTTTACCCCTCTCCTCAAAAACCACCATTTCCAATTCCTTTTCAACCAAGAATCAGGAAGATTTGAAGAACCAATATTATAGTGGATGTGCTACCGGTACCGGTGGTGGTTCCAGGCCTTCAGATAAGGGGGAGGCCTGGTCATCCAGACCCTGAGATAAGGGAGGAGGGGGGGTGGGCCCTAAGAAAATAAACTGTTTGGAACACAATTTGAGCTCTACAATTTTCGGAACATTTGTTGTAAAATTTCTTGCTTGCCTGCCTCTCCTACGATTTTAGAACATCTAAAAAGTGGTATAATTGGCCATTTTTACCCTTAAAAAGGTCACCTACAATTCTCGGGAGCCTTTTTTATGGCTGAAATTTTCGAAAAGGTCAGTTTTGATCCCTATAATTTTCGGATCACTAGACTTTCAGCTAGGAAATCTGAACAGATGAAAAATTTTTAGGGGATAATTAAAAATATGCCTATATCTACTGTTTAAATACTAAATACATTTAACAATGCTATGTTTAAATGATTTTGAACTATATTCTCGTTGGGTGCCCCTGAGAAGCATTGACTTACATTGCCTTGGGTTATTTACTGGTGCTCCAGCGTCTATTAACAGTTGAGCCAGCTCAATAAATCCTTTCTTACAGGCTTCATGAAGGGCGTGCCAGTTTCCTTGAGTTGTAACTGATGCCCCTGCCTTAAGTAACAGCTTCACAACTTCAACATGTCCACAAGCTGTTGCCCACATGAGTGGTGACCGACCAAATTTGTCCACATCATCTAGAGTACAACTGGCCTTAATAAGCACTTCAACCACGTAAACATGGCCTCCTGAAGCAGCTAGATGAATTGCAGCTTTTCCCTTTTTATCTGTGCCAGATAATTGAATTATAGTTATTTGTAAGCAAAGAGCAAACATACGAAACCACCTCCTAAATGTTTTCAATTTTTCAAAGTCATATATTTAATTTTTTCTTGGCACTTGGCATTCTTACTAGTTAAGAATCTGAGTGGGAAAATAGCGAATTTCTGTAAATTGACCCCTAAGCCTGAAAATGTCACTTGGGAAACTATTCTTCAGTTCCGTTATTCTAAGACCACAGTAATTACACGGTACCAGAAACAATCACTTCTTTGAAATCCAAGGGCTGTGCAGTTGTTTTTGGTCATTCCATTAGTTTCAATTTATCCTTGGCCACACTTGTACATCTAAAAATGGCAATATAGTTGCCTCCTGCCAGTTGGGGTATTTTAATCCTGTTTTTTTGTATTTGAATTATTTTTTTCTGATCATTTGAGTGTAAACAAGCTGGGTTACTATAAAGTGTACTTTTCACAATAAACAATCCTTAAACCTTGTTTTAAGAAATGCATGTCAGAGAACTGTTTTGTGGGGACAAATGTGAGACTTGAATTTTAAATGGACATTTGGATTTTATGTACCTTTTTTATTAACATTAGCTCCAGCCTCCAGAAGAAACTTNACTTCTTTGAAATCCAAGGGCTGTGCAGTTGTTTTTGGTCATTCCATTAGTTTCAATTTATCCTTGGCCACACTTGTACATCTAAAAATGGCAATATAGTTGCCTCCTGCCAGTTGGGGTATTTTAATCCTGTTTTTTTGTATTTGAATTATTTTTTTCTGATCATTTGAGTGTAAACAAGCTGGGTTACTATTAATAAAGTGTACTTTTCACAATAAACAATCCTTAAACCTTGTTTTAAGAAATGCATGTCAGAGAACTGTTTTGTGGGGACAAATGTGAGACTTGAATTTTAAATGGACATTTGGATTTTATGTACCTTTTTTATTAACATTAGCTCCAGCCTCCAGAAGAAACTTTACAAATTCCAAGTAACCAGCCCTTGCTGCAAGGTGCAAACCAGTTTCACCTATTGATACTGTTGTCACAACATCAGGATCCAGTTTCTTAGCATCATAAATCATCTTGGCCTATGATACAAGATATATAAATTAAAAAATATTTAGAAGGTGAGGGAGCACCACTCTTCTACCAGCTGAATTAATGTTACAGCCTGAACTTTCAAAAGAGAGGTAGGGTACAGTGTGAAAAAGGATCATTTACCCATGAAATATTCCATTACAGAACCAAACTGTTACTGGCTTCAGCCTGGTATTAGACTGCGAGTAGTCTCTCTTTTTCTTGATATTTAGTGAGGGCAGTGCATGTGTGCACTAGAAGCCGCGAAATGTGCAAGGTGATGTTGGCAGCCCAAGAAAAAAAACTGGCTTTGCTAGTAGTCTCTCTCCTTTTCCGCCAGTCCCACCTCGCACCTTCAGTCACTCACATAATCATTTTTGTCTCTTGTGTGTTTCCCCTGACAGGCTAGGAAAAAAGAGAGACTGCTCGCAATTTAGCCTGGTATTTATGTGCACACCATTCACAACATTGTGACTTAGTTTTACAGCAAATGAAAACTGATGATGGAAACATAATCAGAATAGTTCTTCCCTTCAAAGATCAGATAGCTGCTGATGCAGTCTGTAGGCAATTGCATGATCTCAATGTCTACATTAACTTGGATAACAGGGAAAGAGCTAGACCAAGAAATAAATAACAACGGAGACCAATTTCGTTGGAAGAAAAACATGAAAATTATATAGCGGCGGTGGGAGTGTGCTGCATGGACAAAGTTGTCTTTTTTGCTCGTTAGAAATAATAGTGCGCTGCACGTGCAAAGTTTTTTTGCTAATTAGAAAAAAAGAGTGCTGCACGTGCAAAGTTTGTTTTTTGCTTATTAGATCAAACTCAACCTTTTGAGATCTGTTGTTGTTGTTTTTTACCGTTCTCGTTGTTTTTACCTTGTCTATAGTATTACTCAATTTATATTTTCTTTGAGGAAACTATAAATATTAAAGAGAGCTTCGCTTTTAGCCGTGGCTAAATCTATTTAGTATATACTAAAACAGTGGATAGTGTTTTTCGCGCGCTCTGATTGGCTACTCAATCAGTGAATATCCTGCACTATTCACTGATTCACCTCCAGTTCCTCCGAGCGAGCAACGCCAAACTCGCGTAAGTTGCGAGCAAAATGCCTTCCCGGTTTGCTGCCGTAAACAAACAAAGAAATTTCACAACTAATCAAGCAAGCTGTTTCCGAAATACACGAAGACGGTGACGAAGTTCGGATTAGAAGTTTTAACAGGTAAAGCTTTGTCTTTTCGACACGAATTTATCGATAAAACCGGTGAAAAAGTTTTTGTTTACAAATGCAAATTAAGTTTAAATCTTGCCTACTTTATTTAGTTGAGTTGTTCATAAATAAGCTTAAAACTGAATTTAATAATCTTTTTTTATAGAATGATTTTAAATACAAAAAGAATTCACAACTCTTTTTGAAGAAATTTCCCCGCAAGAGCTAAACAAATGCCTTCAAAAGTTTTAATTGTCGGCAAGAAAAAGCGACGGCCGCAGCCGCCCGGTCATTAGGCGCCAAAATTGTAATCGTTGGCAACAGTATTTGAGTTAAAAATCGTCATTTTTGAGCTCAATTATCTCACGGTTTTAGTATATACTAAAACAATTATTCACCTCAGTGTCGGTGGCTAGTCGTGGATATTTACCTCACTGCTTCGCAGTTCGGTAAATATCCAGGACTAGCCAC